CGGCGTCTCAGCCTGCGGGGAAGCCCCCAGAACTCGTGGGGTTTGTGATAGCAAGTGGAAGCAGCAACTAGAGGTAAAAAAAAAAAAAAAAGCTCATATTGGATTAATAATTTCTATCCAACCATCTGCCTCTTTCACCAGCTCCCTTTTCTGCGCAGCAGGTTGTTCAATGCAGGCTGGGTGTGCAGTAGTAGGAATCATTTGCTTTCCATGGAATTTCATGGTTTTGTGGGTGCACGCAAATGATGGCTTCTGGTCAGGGCAGGACATCCAGCTGAGAAGCTGTTCCCCTACGAGATGCGTACGAGGCGCCCCTGATCCCACTGGTTTGGGGAGGGGTTATCCCGAACTAGCGAGAAAACAGAGGTCTGCAGCTGCTAACATCTCCAGTCTCCGGTAATTCTGGAGGCGTACTGCAAGCCCCCGTTAATAATTGCATTGTTGGCAATTAAACCCTTCTTAATGAGCCCGATCCCCAATCTCAAGGCCCCAGATCACTCGCTGCCATGCTCGCTCTCTGCTCAGCCAGTTGCGAGCACGCGACGAGCAGCGACTCGGGAAGTAAAGCAGGAGCCCCTTTTCCCGCTCGGTTTAAAGAAGGGGTAGGGAGCGCTTCTGATGTTCCATTAAAGCTGGCTTTTCTCCTTGTGGCAGAGCAGATTTAATCAGACCCGCCTCCTAGTTCCAGCTGCTGGGTTTGAACGCTCTGATCTGTGCACTGGGTGCACGTCTAATTACGGAGGCAATTCCCATGGATACCAAGAAGAATTGTCTGTACTGGCAAAAATGATCCCAGCTGGGAAAACGGTGAAGGAAAATGTGATGAAATATTCGGGAAGAGACTTCAAAAGTTTCTGGAAATGTTAAGTGAAAAACATTTCTGGTGTTCTTGCACCCCAATGTGCAAATCTTCATGGTTCTAAAACTAAGATACAGGTTGTTTTCATTCTGGTTTGCAAGAGCTAATCCAGAGTCGCTGCTTTTTGTGCTACTGGAGGATTTACCAGCACAGCAAAATTAAATTTGCACGCACCCCCCAGCCGCCCCTTGTTCTCTGCACCCACTCGAGACTGCTTTTTCACCCTTGCTATTGCACGCCGCAAGGTTCCCTCTGCTCACCTGAATGGCGGGGGAAGCGCGTTTCCAGCAAATGGCCCACAGTTTGGGTTCCAGAAAGGCAACACCCTGGGCGAGGCAGCTCGCTCTGCCCCGGAGACGCCCGCCGAAGGGCTGGAAATTCTGGTTCCATGCACAGCGCCGGGGCTGGTGTATGGGACTTGGGTAAGTTACTCCCCTTCATGCCTCATTCTTCTGAAAGGCGTGCATTTAAATAACTTGTTTCTGTGTAAATTAATATTTGAAGGGTCTGTTCAAGGCAAAAGAGCCCTCCCTGCTTAAAAAGAGAGGGGGAAATACCCAGTCGTGCACTGCTCAGATGTGGAAAATTAAGCAAA